TTTTATATTTTTTAAACAATATTACAACACAGAACATAAACAATGCCAGCAATGACCTATATTTTGTAAACAATGTCAACACAGAACATCAAGTATTCAAAGTATAAACTATATTTTATATTTTTTAAACAATGTTACAACACAGAACATAAACAATGCCAGCAATGACCTATATTTTGTAAACAATGTCACAACACAGAACATCAAGTATTCAAAGTATGAACAATATTTTATATTTTTTAAACAATGTTACAACACAGAACATAAAAAATGCCAGCAATGACCTATATTTTGTAAACAATGTCACAACACAGTACATAAAGTATTCAAAGTATGAACTATATTTTATAGTTTTTAAACAATGTTACAACACAGAACATAAACAATGCCAGCAATGACCTATATTTTGTAAACAATGTCACAACACACATCATCAAGTCAAACGTATGTACTGACTCACGTAAATACAATCAAAAATATAAAAAATTAATCAAAACAGAATGAAAACGATTAATAATAAAAAAATAAATAACAACAATGGACACTCTAATACACTGATCATACAATTTAAGAACGCAAAAATTAAATACATTTACCTAGCATCAAAGACGATTATAGAACTCCTCAAACGATGAATGTCGAAATTTGGATGTATCGAACCAAAAAACCTCAATTTCCGCACAGGACAGATCAAAATCGATGCAGGTGAAAATCCATAGCAATTAGACGTTGATCGATTCAGATGAAAATCAAAGATAGAAGATGATGCAGGGATGAAACTGAATTCTGGTGAAGGTGAACCTAGCTGAAGGTGAATTCTGGTGAAGGTGAACCTAGCTGAAGGTGAATTCTGGTGAAGGTGAACCTAGATGATGCAGGGATGTAATCGGCCGAAGCTGATTGTGAAGAATAAGAACTCGGCGAACTAAGGATGGAGGAGAAGGAAGAAAATAATGGGAAAGAGCAGGCGTGTGTCCTAATTAACGAAAAGGGGCAATTATGGAAACAACGGAAAATTAACTCCTATTTAGGAGTAAAAAATGTGCAGGTCCTATTTAATTACATAGGGAAAGTTACAGTCCTATTTACCACCATTTCCCATTTTTCAATAATGAAGGCAAAGGATGAGTTTGTCGGGAGAGTAATACGGCACAGAAAACAGAATATAGTGGTATGAGATCACTCAACTTAGATAGAGGGAAATAAAAAAAAGTTGGAGGGAAATGAAAATTTTGAGGAGGGAATTTTTTTTAGGTTTAAGAGTTTTCGTTTTTCCATGTAGTTGTCACACTTTTATATTAGGAGCAATTATAGTTACACTTTTAGAAAAAAAGTCAAAAGTGTCACTATAGGACAATGATACCCCTGCGTTCCATTTTACATGTCTTACTTTCTTCTTTGGGTTGTTCCAAAATAAGTGTCACCTATCTCTTTTTGGAAAGAAATATGTGGTTCACAACATTTCACTTTATTATATTCAAATTTCAATAACAGATTTTACTTTTTCAACCACTTTATTAAAAATATGCCAAAACCAAAAAAGACACATAAAATGGGATTGAGGTATTATATAGATAAAAAAGGCGACACATGATAATTAAAATGCATAATTCAACAATACAACTGAATAAAACACAATTACTAGCTACTAAAACAATTTTCGTCTTCAGATAAGTTATTTCATATTAAACACTTTTTTAGTTGACAAAATATAACTTAATTTAAATTAAAAACAAGGTACACATACAATATCGCCATATTAAAGGTTACACTGGGATGAGACCCAGAGTTGTAATCACGTTTGAGAGCGCCCTAACTCGTTAAGCCCGCAATGTGGTAGACTCCACTAACATTAATGTTGAACTTGCTACTAGAATAAAAATTAATTATATATATACAAGAATGCTCAGATCCGAACGTTCAGACAGGAGTCTCTGTACGAACACCGCTGTTTGGGGTAGTTCCCGGTAGAATTTTTTGATGAAATTTTTTGAGCATGTTTCTCATCAAGTCTAGTTTATCCACCAAAAAAGTTAGCTCAAAATTCGATCGGGAAGGCTTTCAAAAAAAAATTGAAGCTGACTGCGTTTTCTGTGTATAATTTTGCGCAGTTAACTTCAAAAAATTATTTGAAGGCCTTCCCGATCGAATTTTGAGCAAAAATATTTTGTGGATAAACTAGACTTGATGAAGAAAATGCTCAAAAAAAATCATCAAAAAATTTCACAAAGAACCACCCCAAACGGTGGTGTTCGGACGACGGCTCCCGTCCTCCCTGCTAGACCTGAGCACTTCTCTCTCTATATATAAACTCTAAATAAGTTTTCAATAACATTTAAAAAAAAAAACTAAATATATATACTCAACAAATAAATTTACATGCTATAAGATCCAGTCATGGATAATATGTTTTACTCATTTTTAAAATAATGATTCTTATATTTAAAAATTGGTAAAAAAATTACGATTTGAGTCATAAACAGAAGAATTATCATATTATTATTTTCACTAGAAGAAATAAAGAATATCCATTGTACCTATAAAACATGATATTTGACTATCAAATATATTTATTTGATAGTTTGTATTAAGTTTTTGATGATTCGAATGGTCAAATTAATCTTAAATATGACTAAACTAAACATCACATATACGTGATACATGGGCCAGCTGTAATTATTATGGTAAATAACGGATAATGCTCTTTAACATATATGAACTAATTCCTTGTTTTTAGGAATAGTAATTAATACACCCTAATGCATGCATCGATAATTGAGAAGTGATAAATGTTGAAGGGTGGTGAGCATTGACAATAATTAGAGGACAGTAAAACAATGGGCAATAAATTAATGCACTATATAGGATCTAAACACACAAATGACATTAAATATGTATGATGACAATTAATGACATAGGCAGTAACTTAAAGACAATAAATTGATTATTCTATTAGTCAGTAAATTCTTATATTTTAGTGGACAGTAAAACAATGGGCAATAAATTAATGCACTATATAGGATGTAAACAAACAAATGACAGTAAATATGTATGATGACAGTTACGTTAATGACATAGGCAGTAACTTAAAGACAAGAAATCGATTATTCTATTAGTGAGTAAATCCTTATATTTTATATATGATCCATATATGAAATAGACAGTAAACACAAAATTGAAGTGATTTGTAAGAGGGAAACAATTGTGTAGGAGGGCAGTATAATATGTAGCACGTATCCCCAATTCCCTTCATTATTTTTAGGAGTTCGAATTGCTTTAGAAATGGAGAAGTATTAAGCAATAAAAGCAGGTTCTGGAATACTAATAATATTTAAAAAAAATTACTACGGAGTAATAATAATAATAACAATAAAAACGGTTACCATATACGGAGTATGTGTCGTGCATATCATCTGCCGAGAAACTAGGAAAGACAGTTTCCGAAGTTATTGATTGGACTAATTAATTAATGAGGGCAACAGTAAAATACGGAGTATAAAATATGAAAAAATTGATACTAACACCATGCATAGTTTGGCACCATCAGAATAGGAAAAAAACATGACAAAGTCATATATTGGGAACTGCATCAAGTTTTAGTCTTATCACTGATAATTTTCTCAATTTGATACCATAAACTGACCTTGTGTGTATTCTTCCATTATATTTGAATTGTTGAGATATGAAATAACTATTTCCTCTGTCCTATACAAAGGTGCTCATTTTTTTTGGACGTCTCACTTAAAGATTCTCATTTTCATTTTAGAAAAAATTAACAATCTTAAACGACAAATTACTCATTAAATGTTAAAAGCAACACATTTATAACATCACAAGTATCAATACTAATCCCACCGTATTGTATACCTATTGAAATAATTTCTCAAAATATACTTGAACTACCTTATTTAATTATTGTCTAAATAATTTGTGTCATTTTGTCATGAGAACCTTTCAACGGGACGGAGGTAGTATTTAAATAATGTGTATTATTACTGGTGATAATTAATATGATGTAATTTGATTTTAATATTAACAATTTTGGACCTGAAAGATAGATGAATTATCAATCCGGAACCTGAAAGATGAAATGTGTCAGTATAGGGCCTGGAAGATTGAAAACTTATGATTTATTTAATTTTTTATTAATTTCATTTCTAATTTTTTATGTACATTTCTTCACAAAAGTTTATTAGTTTTAAAAAATAAATAGTATTTTAATTTTTAAAATAAAAAAATAGTAAGATTCATGACAATTCAAGTTCTAGATTGATAATTTCTGATCATTTTATCTTTGAGGTCCCAGATAAATTCAAGTTCTAGATCGATAATTTCCGATCATTTTATCTTTGAAGTCCTGGATTGATAAAATTTCATTTTTTTCCTATTTTAAAATTTGAAAATTGACTAGAATAATTGTAGAAAACATATCATTATCAATAAATTTATTCTCAATATCACGTCATATATAAATTTAAATATTGATACCACTCAAATGAATCGCTGGCTTTGTCTCTAACAAGATCAGACCTGATTTTCATAATTGTAAAATACACATTGAATAGACATCAATTGAGCGAGATAAAAAACAACCCTAATCTTAGTAATCAATCAAGGGATATTAGCCCAAATAGGATTAAAAATGTTTGAAAATTCCAAAATAGGACTGCCATGTTTTTATTCCCAAAATAGGAGTATTTACTGCCATCTTTTGGCAGTACCAGACTTCAAACATGACAGTATTTTCCAAATGTGGCAGTAATTGATCCTATTTTGGGATAAAAACATGATAGTCCTATTTTGGAATTTTCAAACTGTTTTGGGAATTTTCTCATCAAACAACCAAGAATATGATCGAAGAAGATGCAAGCGTCCAAATCCTAGTAAAACAAGGCAAGGGATCCAAGAAATACTTCTCTGATCTATTTATTGAAGAGGTGGGAGGGAGGGCAGGGGCAAAAGAAGACGTCCATTTTATTAACTCTGATTTGTCGCCGCAGCCCGCAGGAAACCGAAATCCGGCCGGAGATGGTATTGGGGGAATTAGGAGGGGGCATAGCCCGCGCAATCCAGAGCGTGAACAGGGCGACAATAGTCAACGACCAAGTATTGACCGACTGCCTCAACCAAATCAGCCGAGCTCTTCTTCAAGCAGACATTCAATTCAAGCTTGTTCGTGATGTGCAGGCCAATATCAAGTCCGGTGTCGACCTCCACAACCTACCTGCAGGCCATAACCTGCGCAAAATCATTCACCAGGTTATTTAATTCATTCAATTCATTATCTTTTTTCAATTTCTTATATTCAATTTCACCAGGCAAAACAAGGCCAATATCTTAGATAGTATTAAATTTTGCAGGCAATATTTAAGGGACTCTGTAACATGATGGATCATGGCAAGCCTTTTTTCACTCCAAAAAAGGGGCAAACATGTGTCGTTATGTTTGTTGGTTTGCAGGGTATGTATATATATTTATATAATTATATAAGTGTCTCTTTCTGCAATTTTCATCCATGTTCTATATATGCATGATCATAGGCAGCAATTTAATAATGATTTAACTAATCAGAATACATTTGAAAGTGTTTCTAAGTCTCTTTAATTCTCCAATTTTCATTCTGTTCTCATCCATCTTCTATATATGTATGCGAATTATATACGTAGTAATTAATTGTGGGAATCAAATTAGTAGACATTTGGATGTTCATTGGATTCCTAATTGCAATCTTTAAAGCCACAAACATATATAGAGTTTATTATTATTTTTGTCACTACTATTATTGCTACTGCATGCAATTACAGAGTACTATGTAGTATGCATATATGTGCCATCATTAGCATTGTTAATTTGTTGTATTGTTTTCAATATTATTCTTATCATCCATGGGCATAGAAATTAAACGAAATACTAGAGGCATTTTGCATTTTTAGAAAACCAAACCATTATAATTTATACTCACCTCCCTCAATGTTAATAAACTCTAGACAATTAATTTAGTTATTATATTTGTGTGAAATTTATAATTCTCCACTTTTATGAAATGTTCTTTGAAAATTACATTTGGGTATTAACGTACTTAATTTGCACGTTAAATTTCTTAGGTTCTGGAAAGACAACAACGTGTACAAAGTACGCGTATTATCATCAGAAAAAAGGCTGGAAACCTGCCCTGGTATGTGCCGATACTTTCAGAGCAGGAGCTTTTGATCAGCTCAAGCAAAACGCAACAAAAGCTAATAAGATTCCCTTCCATGGGAGTTATACCGAACCCGATCCCGTGAAGATTGCGGTGGAAGGTGTGGAGAGATTCAAGAAAGAAAATCGTGATCTCATTATTGTTGACACCAGCGGGCGCCACAAACAAGAAGCTTCTCTCTTTGAAGAAATGCGCCAAGTTTATGAGGCAACCCAGCCAGATCTGGTTGTGTTTGTCATGGATGGAAGCATTGGTCAAGCTGCGTTTAATCAAGCTCATGCTTTTAAGCAAACTGTTGAGGTTGGAGCTGTTATTGTCACCAAAATGGATGGCCATGCAAAGGGTGGTGGCACTCTTAGTGCATAAGTACTGCTACGTATTATTTTTATTATTATTGATATTTTCTCCAAAAAAAAGTTGAATTCCAAGGGACAAGGCGGAAAGGCCCAAATCCCCAGCCTGACAGAGTAGACGGATAAATGCATAAATGACACCTGAATTATTGATATTGCTACATTTTGATACTTTAACTCATAAATGAAACAAACCACTATTATATTTGTATGTAAATGTTTCAAACAACAATTCTATTTGATTTTCCGGCCAAAAAATGCTACGTGGTGGTCAGGATTTCATGCGTACAGTCCACCATACATTGGCCGCATAAATAAAGCTTATGTACAGTTGACTGTACGGATAGAATCTCGACTGACTCGTAGAGTTTTTTGGCCATAAATATGAATTGTGATGCTAGTTGAAATATTTTGTATAGTTATGGTACTGATCTGTTCCATTTTAGGGTTAAGGTATCAAAATGCAACAATGCCCATAGTTAAAGTACTCTATACGCATTTGACCCGTTGGAAGACCTTATATTTGTGTCCACTAGAGATCCAGCCCACCACATGAGTTGTAACCTCCACATGGTGGCTGTGAGCTTAGATCCTTTATTATTCTTTCAACTTTCCCTGCGCCTAAACTGAGCTACCCATGTGACATTAATATTCATTTTTGTTTATATGGGTGGATGGATATTCTAACAATACACTTTAGTATACTCCATTCTAGTAGAAAGTACTGATCTCTATTGGTTTTACAAAATTTACAGCATTGCAGCAACAAAGAGTCCCGTTATATTCATCGGAACAGGAGAACATGTGAATGATTTTGAAGTTTTTGATGTCAAGCCTTTTGTTAATCGCCTTCTAGGTATTTATTTATTTATTTATTTATTTATTTATTTATTTATTTATTTATTTATTTATTTATTTATTTATTTATTTATTTATTTAGTATACTATACCTTCTCTTGGGTTCTCTCGGGTTACTTTTTAAATTTTTTCAAAGTTTATCTGTTTGTACTTTGTACTTGTTAACTACGGAGTACTAATTAATAATGATTATTTTCTTCTTTATTTAGGGATGGGAGACCCAAATGGAATCAGGGACAGGTTTCAAGAGGCTGTTCCGGTGGATCAACAACCTCAATTTCTGCAAAAACTCTCAGAAGGAAATTTTACATTGAGAAGTTTTTATGAGCTATTGCAGAGTGTTCTCAAACTTGGCCCGTTAAACAAGATATCCTCAATGCTTCCGCAACGCTTTGCTGAATCATTGGTGCCGAAAGGCAATGAGAAAGAAAGCCAAGATGCCATGACCAAACGTTACACAGTCATGATGGAATCGATGACCAATCAAGAATTGGATAACCCAAAACTGCTCATGAATTTGTCGTCCCGAGTAATGAGAATTGCCCGAGGCTGCGGTCGCCAGGTTGAAGAAGTAACGGCGATGTTGCAGGAATACAAGAATCTTGCCAAAGAGTTTTCCAAGATTCCTAAGAAATCAAAGAACATAGGACAACAAATGAGCAGTTTGATCCCTCCACAGATGCTGATGCAGATTGGAGGCATGGGTGGCTTGGAAACACTGATGAGACAAATGGGCGTAAATAATTAAGATTGTGTATTACGTAGTATTAACATAGCATATGAATTATTTTGTATCATATCATTCATTGAACCCTTTTTTTTTAGCTTGTTACAGGTTATCAGTCAACTCTTATACTAAACACCAAACTAAAGACTTCATTTGTTTTAAAAAAAAGTAAAAAACAAAAAAAAGTTAGTTTTCATTTGACTCTTGTACTTTATTAACAGAATCTATTTCATCACGTTTTCATAACTCATTCAAATTTGTAGTAATTTCACTTGTTTCAACCAACTCAACATAATTGGAATTTATTAATTCACTCAAATTTGGGTTTTAATAAAAATACTAAATACCAATTAATCCTAATTGAATTTTAGAAATACTTAATAGATATATTTAAGGGAATAACTACATATATATATGTAGTATAACTAAGAACTAAAATAAATATTGTTTATAAAAATTTGATAGCAGTTTAACTTGAGTAATGTTTTTGAGAAATTAAGGAGGCCTAGGTAATGTGTAGTTGTTTTCCCTATAAATGAAGCGGTGGCGTGTTAATGTGAAATTGTTTTCCCTATAAATGAGGCCCAGGTGTTAAGAATAAGAATCAGCAGTATTAGCTTTTCAATCTTTTAAAATCTCTCCTTTTAGGTGGGGCAACTTTTTTATTTATATCCCAACTTATACAAAAATTTATTGAAATTCATATTCCATTTGACTTTGTTAACTTTCTCATTGTTGTTCCAAAATTTTCTGTAAATTTCCAAATTGAGGGTGTTTGATTGCATGAGTGAATATCAATATTTTGTATAAACGGGTGGCTTGGTGGGGTTAGCGATGTCAAAAAAACCCGACCCGCATTGACCCGCCCTGGCCCGAGACATTTGGGGCAGGTCCGCCCCGCCCCATCTTGCAAATGGGGCGGGTCCGCCCTGCCCCGCCTATACAATGGGGCGGGTCCGGGTATTAGTATTGACCCGTGCCGCCCCGACCCGTCCCGCTGAATATATAAGTATACATACTTTTTCTTAAATTATATTAGTACTACAAATATACTTCAACATACATATGTGTGTATACAATAAATCATAATTTTTTGATCTTATAATATGTTTATACACACACACACACATATTAGAATGAGATGAACGACGGATAATCAATGTCTGAGTAAATTTTCCTTAATTTTTGAAATTTTTAGCGTATCATGAATTTGATTTAATATATTAATTTTTAATTATTATTTAGCGATAAACTTTATGTAGATTCAATGGATAACAACTTCCTACAAATAAAAATACATACTAGCAAATTAGGTTACGACGGGGCGGGGTGGGGCGGACCCGCTCCGCATGGGGCGGGTCATGGGTCAACAAGTTTGGACCCGTGCAAGTCACAGGGGCAGGGCGGATCCGCCCCGCCAAATTACGGGGCGGGACGGACCCGCCCGCCAAGTCACGGGGCGGGTCTGGGTCTTGCAGTACCTGCGCCGCCCCGACCCATTGCCATGCCTAGATCTGTTTGTTTTATCATTGCTCTGACATCATAAACCGCAATAGGACAATAATAGAGGAACGAAACCGCAAATAATAAGGGAACGAAGCTAATACTCCGTAAGGCCGTAGTATGCATTTAAATAGAAGCCAGATACAGGAGTAATACTTCCAACGTAGTAATTTAATACAAATCCTAGCTATATCATCTTTCTGTGGCACAAAGATAACAACAAAGAAATGAAGTCAAGAGTGATGATGAAGGAAACTCACACTGTAAAACCTGCGGAGGATACTCCAAAAGTGGTGATGCATGTATCCCAATGTGACCAAGTAGAGCCTATTATACATTTCCCCACCGCCTACTTCTACCGATCTGGAAATCCATCCATTATCCACACCTTGAAGGACTCCCTCAGCAAGGCTCTTGTCATATTCTACCCCTTAGCAGGTCGCCTCCACCCGCTCGGCGGTAGCGTCGATATTCATTGCAACTCCGAGGGGGCATTGCTCCTCGAAGCCAACTCAGAGTCCAAAGTCAACGATTACGGTGACTTCCGTCCTACTCCGGAGCTCTTGGATCTCATCCCAACAGTAGACCCCAAAACTCCACTTCACGAGCAGCCTCTGCTGCTCGTGAAGCTCACTCACTTTGCCTGCGGGGGAGTTGCTTTGGGCATGGCTGTGTCGCACGTCCTTGCTGACGGGCTGAGCGGTCTACACTTTGGCAATGTATGGGCGACGATTTCTCGAGGAGAGCAACTGTCCCGTGCTGACATGCCATTCCTTGATCGGAATGTCTTACGACAACACATTGACGTGATGAGTGGTGAGTATTACATTGTCCATCTTATTTCTAACTAAGATTATATTCATATTTTTTATAATCTATTTGTAACAGGAGCTGGACTCGACTGTTAATGGTAATTTGGCTTATAAGAAGATAAATGAGTAATTGGAGAGAAAAGGAGAATAGATTGTAACTGGCAATGAACTGAATTTTATTGATGCTTCTCAGCCAGTATTTATATTGTACAACTCAGCTAGTTTATCAGTTATATCAACAACTATTACAACTGATTCTCAACTACTTCTAGTAATACTATACGGTTGGTAAAACTACCGTACATTCCTCCCCCCTTAGAACCTTTAACTTGTCCACAAGTCATGCCATGGTCTTGTTGATATCAAAATTAGGATATTGGCTCTTGAAAATTTCAGCTACTTCCCACGTTGCTTCTTCCACAGAAAAGCCTTTCCATTGTATTAGAAACTGCACTTGCACCTTATTTTGAAATTTGACACTCCTTTCCAAAATTCTTTCTGGTTGAGGCATCACTTCTGCAGGTTGTCCCCTGAACCAGGCAGGAATATGAGCAGCAATAGGTAATTTTCCCCTGAATTTCTTAAGCTGTGATACATGAAAAACATCATGTATTTGAGACTCAGCTGATAACTTTAGCTTATAGGCAACCTTCCCAATAATTTCTTTGACTTGGAATGGTCCAAAGAATCTAGGTGCCAATTTTTGATTGCTTCTTGTTTGCACAGATTGTTGCCTGTAATTCTGTAGCTTCAACCAAACCCAATCCCCTATCAAGAAATCTCTTTCACTTCTCCTTCTATCAGCCAACCGTTTCATTCTTGATTGAGCCTTAATCAAGTTCTCTTTGAGTCTTTTAATCATCTCTTCCCTCCTTTGCATAGATCTGTCAACAGCCTCAACTTTGGATTCCCCAGTCATGTATGGAAGATACAAAGGGGGAGGTTGATTGTAAATAACCTCATAAGGGGTACTGCCAGCTGATGTTTGAAAATGGGTGTTAAACCACCATTCTGCTAATGGAAGCCATAAACTCCAATCCTTTGGTCTTTCACTACACATACACCTCAAGTATGATTCCAAACATTTGTTTACTATCTCTGTCTGTCCATCAGTTTGTGGATGGTAGACAGATGATAGTCTAAACTGAGTTCCCTGAATAGAAAACAGATCTTTCCAAAATTGTTTTAAGAATATAGCATCTCTATCACTTACTATACTCTTGGGCCAGCCATGTAGTTTAAAAATATTATCCAAATAGGCTTGAGCTACTTCTACTGCAGTGAAAGGGTGTGCTAAAGCCACAAAATGAGCTCCCTTGCTCAGTCTATCCACCACCACTAGTATTATCTCTTTTCCTGCAGACTTAGGTAACCCAGTAATGAAATCAAGGGATATATCCACCCATACTTCTTCTGTAATCGGAAGAGGTTGCAACATTCCTGGATATGTTACATTTTCATATTTGTTTGCTTGACAAACCAAACATTCTTTTATATATTTGCTAATGTCTTTATGAAGACCCTTCGAGTACAACAGAGTTTTAACTCTTCTTATTGTTGCATCCCTTTCTGAATGTCCTGCCTCTCCAGAAGTATGATGCCAACATAAAATTTTAGCCTTCAATGAATCTTCATTGCCAATAAAAATTTTCCCTTTTTTCTTAAAACCCCTTCCTGCAAAGAATACTTCTTTATGGGCTGATGCTGTTGTAGTCTTTGAATAATGGATGTGAGGTGAGCATCATTGGTATAGCTATCTTTAATTAATTGTTCAAGATCTGAATCAATCACTGATATAGACACACACCAAATTTCAGCTCCTTGAACTCTTGATAAGGCATCAACAACCACATTCTCTTTGCCACTCTTTTATTGGATTTCATAATCAAAACCCATTAATTTTGATAACCAAAATTGTTGAAAAGGGGTAGATATTTTATGTCCCAATAACTACTTAAGACTCTTCTGATATGTCTTGATTATGAAGTGCTGAAAGCTCAAATATTGTTCCCACTTCTGTACAGCAAAAAGAATTGCTAACAACTCTTTCTCATACACAGATAATTTCTGCCATTTAGGTCCCAATGCTCTGCTTATATATGCTAGAGTGTGTTCTTCTTGCATCAAGACTGCCCCAATTCCTTCATTTCAAGCGTCTGTTTCTACTACAAAGGTCTTAGAAAAATCTGGCAGAGCTAATACTGGAGCAGTCACTAAGGCTTTTTTCAGTTTTTCAAAAGCCATTTGAGCATTATGATTCCACATAAATGCTCCCTTTTTGAGTAAATCTGTCAA